GAAACTTAAACGACACAAGTCTTACTTAATAAAACTGGTTTATTCTTACCGAATATAACTCTGCGATACACTTAATCTCAATATTTGCGACTAAAACAAACAGTTTCACGAACGAACGTTAACTTCAACAATACCCTGTGACTGCAGTTCAATTACTCACTGTCTACACACACATTACCTTCCCGCATCACGTTGTCCCCCTCTTATATATATATACCCTATCTAGTAAATACTAGAGCATTCATGAAGGAACAAGATAGTTCTAGAAACTAGAGGGTGCCACACCAGTCACGTGACCTCGATGACGCAACAATATTATTGCTGATATTTGGATATATAAGACTGTTCAGTTAAGAGTTATTATTTAGTTTTCGTAACAAGCATGTTTAAATTAATTATTTTAAAAGCGATAATTATGAAAATTTTCATTATGTAACTCTGTATGAGTTGTACATTGTGTATGCAGTGTAATTGTTGTTCTAGGCTTTTGTAATATTGTTGATGTCATCTTACTTGAAGCTTCTAAGTTTCCTCATTATGTTTAATGTTGTTACTAGAGGGCTAGATATTTCTGTCTCGTGTTATAAATGCGTGCAGATACAGAGAGAAAGTTAAGTTAGTGAAAGTAAAATTGAAAAAAAGTAAAGTTAGACTGCGAGATTGTCAGTTTAGCCATAACTGAAGAATAATAATTTGTCTTGTCAAAGAATGTTCAAAAGTAACTGAACCCATCTGTTATAGTGGTGATTTTGAAGTGAGTTTCACAGCTTGTATTATGACAACAGGGATAGAGAAGAAGAAGAAGAATTGGGTTCAAAGTAACTGAACCAGCCTGTGTGGAATTTTGACAAAAAAAGAGATTAAAAAAAATTATTTAAAGCTCTGGATATAACTGTGGTAACCCACTGGGTAACGTAAGTGAATTTACCACTGATTATATTGTGATAACAGTGAAGAGAAGAAATAATTCGTCTTCTCAATTGGGTTCTAAAGTAACTGAATCAGCCTTGGTGGAATTTTGACAAAAAAAATTATTTAAAGCTCTAGATTCAACTATGGTAACCAATAGTGTAACGAAGTTTTGTACATATGTTTGTCCTGTTTTAAATATATTATTTTAAAACAAGTCGATTGTGTGCTGTCCGTTTATTGTTGACATTTATTGCCATCAAGTTACAGACTCCTACTATAAAAACAATACGGACCTATCAAAACCTGACATTGATGATATTTAGGTCTTTGGTGTTGCTGGCAATGAGGAAGAAGATGCTGTTTTACACAAGGATTTAGATCATTTGGTGAGTTAGACAAATAAATGGGAAGTGGATAGTAATTATAATAAATGCAAGATAATGCATGTGAGATATCATAATTTCAATAGGAATAACCTTCATGGTGTTATGGAAGAAAAGGATCTTGATGTTCTGGTTGATTAGTCTCTTAAACCACAAGCAGTGTGTTATTGCTAGTGGTAGAGCATATAGGATTTTAAGTTTTATCTACAGAAATACTGAATACAGGTCTAGAGAGATAATAATTTCATTGTATTGGTCACTTGTTTGGCCATATTTGGAGTACTGTGTTTAATCTTGACCCCTTACCTTAGGAAGGACATTGAATTGTTGGAAAGGGTTTAGAGGGAGGCTACTAGGATGGAAAGGTTGCCATACGAGAATAGATTAAAATCTCTGAAATTGTTTTCTAAAGGGGATCTTATTGAGGTGTCTAAGATTGTTTAGGGAATTGATAATGTTGAAGATATTTTTTTTTGTAGTTAATGGTAAGAATAGTAGGACTAGGGCACACAAATATAAATTGTGATAGGGTAGGAGTCATTTTTAGCTAAGATAGTTTTATTTTTCTATTTCTAAAGGATGGTTGGACTTTGGAATGGGTTGCCTTCAAATGTGAAGGCAATAAAAGTAAGGGAGTTTAATGTTATATGGATGGCATTGGTACATTCTGAATATGTTACATGTAGCTGCACAAACTTTGTCAAGCTTTTAGTAAACATTACAAGTCTGTTGTACAAAAAATATGATTTTTTAATAAAGTATGTATACTAAAGATTTGTCTGTGAATTTACAGTCAGTCTGACTCAGACTCTGACTAGCTGAGTGCAAGGTGGTTTTCAGGTTGAGAATAAAAATACTTTTTTCATCTTACAGTTTTCGTATTTCATTTGCATAACCTCTAGAACCTTCTAAATAAATATTAAAAGTTCCTTTTAGTAAAACTAGATTTTATCTATTATTTTCTATATCCTGAAACTAACTGTACCAAAATAAGCAATGTAAGATGAAATGAAAATTTGCAGTGGGACAGCTTAGTGTAAACAGACAATTGAGTTATCAGCACACACAGTTGAATTAAACAGTTATGCCTCATAATATAATTAGGCTATCATG